TGGCGCTTCATGCAAAAGACTCTTTCAAAAACAGCACAAGCTGACCTATGCATTTCCTGCATAAACGGCGGCTCCACCCGTGCAAAAAAAACTACTTCGACTTGGCTCCAAGCTTATCATGTGGCCTTTTTGCATTAATTCAACGCCCGACTTATGTCTCACACCTGTTTCACCCTGCATGTACATTCAAGAGTCTCCTGCTTTCTCCCCTGGTTGGCTTTTGTTTGGTGTTTGTTTGTGTTGGTGTTGTGTTTGTTGCTTGGCACTGCATGCTGGAGACTCTTTCAAAAACAGCACGAACTGACCTATGCACTTCCTGCATGAATGGCGGCTCCACCCGTGCAAAAAGCATTGGGGAAGCGCTTCACTTCGATAATTTCGTGGCTGGGCCCTCTGGAATCACAGATGCGCACAGGATCTGGCGGAAAACATCAGGCATTTCAGGCATACAGACATGTTGAGTTCCGCCCTTCTCAGGTGTTCAGCAGTCATTTATGTATTTCGCCCGATCCTGTCTAGCCAATTTTGCGAGCCAAAAGGCCTTCTTGAGGCAACATCGAATATGACCAGGCTGTTGACTGACCATCTGCCCTCTCCATTTTCACGCAGGATTCAGACGTTTTGTCTGAGAATGTCCAAACCCTGCGGCCATTGGGCTCGGAAGACTCTCGGCGCTCTTGGGCCAACTGGAGACGTTGCATCATCCGATGTCAAGCGCAGTATGTCAACCAAACACATTTGTTCATTTTGGGTGGTCAACCAGGGTCCCCCTGGGTCAAAACCCACTGCTATGTGATGAGTTCTAAAAGCCAGCAAATCACCGCTTGCAACAGTGGCCACGAGCTGTCAGCAGACTGAAGATGCCCACTGCGAAGCCCACATTTGCCTGGACCTAGCTAGCGTGCGGCGTGTGTCCCAGTAAATCAATGACAGTTGGTAGAAAGACCACTGTTTTTGTGAATCCTCATCGGCCATGGGATATCCCCAAGACATACCCTACCCGTGGCACCGGAGCTGAGTGCTTCGGGCGAATCTGAGCTTCGGCGCGAGAAGACGGCGCGGACGACGGTCAACGCCGGCAGACTTGACGTGTTTCCGTGCGGTGGCCAGAGCTGCAAAGGCAAAAGACGGTGGTCTAAGTAAGGCCCTTACCTTGGAGACCCACACTCAAGTCATCAACATCCCATTCCATTTGTTCGAGGATAGCCCATTAGATGAGCCAATTTGACGCAACTTTGCAAAACATTCAATGTATGGTGATTTGCTCCATGTGGAGTTGGACTTGGGATCCCCTTCAAACAACCCTTTAGATCATTGACCTGGGTACTGGGGGTAATGAAACTAGGTGAAAAGGATGCACAAGCAAAGCCGACTTTATCCTCAAGGCTGAACAAATACTATATATATATACAACTAATTCAATGAATTATCGCGACGTTGCAAAAACGTGTTCATGTCTATCTATGAAAGCCGAGAAGAGGTCGACACATCACGCAGATGGATCATATATATATATATATATATGTAGATCGCGAAAACCGTTTGAGATGATGAGTTTCTGACTGAACTGACACCCCGAATGACACCCGCAAGTTTTGCTGGGCTCTCTTCAGACTTGCAGCTCCGTTGAACTGAGACCCAGAATCTGAGATCAGCTTCTCCCCAAAGAACAACCCCCCCAAGGACTTGTCCCTTGAGCACCTTCACCTGCATCACTTGGATCAGTCTATACAAGTGCTGCTGGTGCGAACCCAGGCCACGCGGCCACGCAGCCGGGATGAGACTGATGGGACAGTGAGAACGAGTTCGCTGGGTGCTGAGGCGTGGAGAGCGCTCCCAGGGGTGGCTTTCGATGGGAGGAACGAACAAAGCCGGATCAACTGGCACTGTGTGATGCTCGGATTGACGGAAGAACCAAGAATCACGCAGTATCCTGTTGGTCCGCGAAAAGACCGGTATCAACCTCCCCGACACGCGGCATGGTCTGAGGTAACCCTTGCTTGCTGGGGATTTCGATGGTTCCGCGCAGTTGAGCATCGGGCCTGCATCGTTGAGCAAACCCACAGAGGTTATGTGACCTTTATAGGACCGGTAATCAGGGGTAACTATAGGATAGTCTATAGGGTTCTTCAACCTTTGCTGGAAGAGCGGCGCCAGGCAAAGATGCGATCGTTGACTCAGAAACTCTGAGGCGCTAAAAGGGTGAGGGAAGCGATGGTTCCATGTGGGCCTGATCTTTATTGGTCCTTGGTCTGGTTCCAGACAATGCAATGGTCTGTCCAGGTCTCAGTTTTTGGTGCGCCCAACCTGCACCCACCAACATCGTCTACAATGTGCTTTGAGGAGATCACTTTTGTTGGATGCCCAGTTACTCAGCAGATCAGCATCAGGTTCAGTATGTTGGGATGTTGGACCTATCGCTTGCGGGTGAATAAGACTTGTTTGGCCGATAGTGACGAATAAAGTGCTTCTGGAGCAGAGGGGTGGTTGTGGTGGGGAGCAGAGGTGGTTCTGGATCCTTTGGAAGGAAGGGAACCGTAGGTGGGCATGATGACGTCTAGGTCCCGGTCCCGGTGGTTCTGGATGCCTTCCGTATTCAGTTGTTAGCATGTGCTTAGGACCCGAGCGTTGGGCTCCATGCCTTGCATTGCGTCACCTGATCCGGCACTTCTCAAGTATGTGACCTGCGTTTCACGTGAGGAACCCACTTTGATTTGGGTGGAGATAACATATCCCAGTTTCCTTCCATTTTTTTTGGTGTGTGCGATCTTGAGTCTGTCACAAATCAAGACCCAAGCAGTGGACCATCCACAAGCCTGGGGACCAAGCTTCTTTCCACAAGTCACCGATGGGGTTTCCGGGACCTATGGATTCTTCTAATAACACAAACAACGTGAATCAAGTCATATAACACAGACAACAACCTGTTGTTTTTTTCAGTGATGAGGGCAGCTGCTCCATGGCGACGTGGGAATCGCACGATGAGGGCATCAGATCCTCGGATGACGTCTCTCGTTTGTGAGAATGGAATTCTGTAGCTTCTTGTTACTACTAGTAAGGCACTTGTTACTAGTAGTGTGGCACTTGTTCCTACTAGCTTCTCTTGTTTGTGAGAATGGAATTCTGTATTTTAACAGGGACCGCAGCTGCTCCATGTTGAGAGAACCAGCGTACCACTTGGGATGGGAGCGCATATGGACAGCCATCTACACCCTACAAGTGTCCTGCAAATCCCAGCACATGGATGGACCTGGAAAAAGGACCCCCTTAAGACTATTCTTGACCAGTGATTTTCAGTTCGGATTGGCGGCTTGAGTTGGAGCTTGCGTCCGCTTGATCGAGAAACAGAATCATGTCCCATTTGTGCTACATCCCCACTCGCAAGTACCGTAGAACTCGATGTTTGGTGGTATTTTTGATGCTGCTGTTCATCGGTGGCCGGGCTGTTCATCAACCACAGGTGCCATACAGTAGGTGCTTTTGCCTGCCGGTCTCAGGCACAGTCCAGCACGCAAGTGCATCCGAAGCGAAAGAAGAAGCGGAGTAAGGTGAAAGCTCCAGCGTCAGACGCATGGACCAGTGTCAGTAAGGTCTTTTTTGTTGTCGATTTTGTGAATGTGCTGAGTCGCATCAGCAGATACGCTTGTTATGATGCATTGTGACGCTATACTTGGAACCCGCTGGTGCAACCACTCTAGGGAACTTGAACTACTTTGGACCTTATAAAAAGGGGGTAGAGTGTCGTACATGTGTGCAGCGCATCACACACTATGACATTCAATGGTGACAATTTGACTAAGTAGGCTCAAATACACATCTCTGTATCAAATCCATGAACATTGACACACGCTTCTTACATTTTGTTGGAACACGGTTTTACTTCTGAGCACTCCCGTTTGCTCAAAGCAAAGGAGAAAACACTTTGAGCAAAACCAGTGGAACGAATCCAAACCAACCTCAAAGTAACAAGTAAACCGGTTTCAGAACCCATGTGGTGGTGGTCATTGCTCCAGACATGGACCCGAAAAGGATATTTGTTTTTCCGAGGTTCTTGCAAGCTTTCATTGGTTTGGATTGGTTTATTGCTTTCTCAGGGGATTTGTATGTATTGATTGGTTCGGATTGGTTCTATTAATTACATATTTTTTGGTAAACGTGACATAGCTTACAAGCAGTTGGATGTGTTTTAAGCACATGCTTTTTCACATGCCCTCAGAAGATTGTGTCGTGTCGTGTCATGCTGATTGTGTCGGTTCAGGGCGATGATGGTCCTAGACAACACGATGCAGTCGTACACAGCACGATGCAGTTGTCCCAATATGCAGAGAATGGGAGCCAAGGATTGAATTTTGTACAATATGAGGATAGTGTGAGTGATATTTTTTTTGAAAATCTTGTGGCAGAGAGGAGAGAAGCAGTTTACTATGATCACATCAGCATCAGGCACATCTTATGGTAAGTCTGTTGGTAGAGCGAGGCTCTTTTCGTGATACACAACCATTACTATGTTTTGTGCTGCAGTTCATGTGAGGGAACGGTTCTTTTGCAAAGGTTTTATTCATATCTAAAGCTCGCACTAAGGACTCAAGTTTGATTATATTTTTGGTACATTCTCCAGTGTTAACTGTTAATGTACTGTATTGATATTAACAAATCCAGACTTCCAGTTCAACTCTTTTTGCACACTTGCCTAGTGTCATTGTGGGTGAGCACTTCACTCTTTGTTCTTGAGGATGATAGTGCTCTCAGAACTGTCCTTTCCATCACCATCATTTGTCATTTGATTTACCTTTGAGTGTTGCCTTATTCAACAATTTTCCGTACGAATGAGTAGATGGCTTATTTTACACATATACATGCTCTGCATTCTGGATGTCATTGTTTAGTTGCTGCCATCTCTCTCTCTCTCTATATATTACTTTTTAAATACAGGTGTGGTGTGCTGTGCGAGGATTTTTGCTTTCGCATAGCTGTTACAGTAGCTGTTAGCTGTGGAGTATGCGCTTTCATTGTCCCAATGGCTTTGTATGCGGCCCCTAGGAGCAGGAGCTTCAAACTTCCAATGCGACACATATCTGGATAAACGGCGTCACGTAATATATGAACAGCCTTGCATTTTGCATTGGCATAAGAGGATCTTTTCTCACACTAGACACCTTTTGTTAATTTGATACGTATAGTTGGGACCATATTTGGATCATGTCCCTATCTGGCTCTCACTAGGGGCCTTAGGAAAGTCAGTGCACTTTTGGACATGCGTGTGGCATGTACATGTAGTACTCCTCACAATGTTGGTACCCTACACCTTGACAGTGTGATGTCTGGGGATGGATGGTCTATGCTGGGCCATTGGTGATGTGACGCGCGGTTGTCGAAGTTATTGTGGATGTGGCCATGAATTGAATTTGAGAAAGCATGCAACAAAATAAGTTAAGTGAGCGGCGTTTGTTTCATTTAATATACCCAGGCACGTCCCAGGCACATGTAGCAGGTGGCCCTGAAATTTTCGTGATGTAGGTGATATTTGGCAGACAAGAGGAGGCCCTGGAGAGAGACAAGAATATCGTACTTCCCGAAGGGCCAGATGAGGCCGTCCTGACACAAAAGGACATCTTACTTGAGGCATGGGAAGCTGCCCGCAACGCCCAACATGTCTCAGCACTTCAATGGTTTGATCAAGTGAATGCCAACGCCGATGAGGAGTTGCAGGGAATGTCTGCCCTGCATTGGGCACTTCAAGAATGCTCCTCAGCAATACCCTTCCTCCTGGAAAGCAAAGCAGCCGTGAACGCCTTCAATTCCGAGGGCATGACCCCCTTGCATCAGGCTGTGGGTCTCCATGGACCCGAACAAGTGGAAGTGGTCAAGCTGCTTTTGGAAGCAGATGCTGATGCCAATTTAGCCGCCAAGGTGAGGGAGCCCCAAAATCCCCATGAACCCACTCCAAGCCCTCTTCAATTGGCGATGAAGGAATCCAATCTTCGTGCCCTACAAGCTTTCTGTGAAGCCGGCAAAGCCAACAAAGAGCTAATGCAGTTTCTGATCAGGGCCGAAGGGCCGGATGCTGTGGAGGCTCTACAGTCCTGGAAGAAGAAGGCCAGGATCCAGCACAGCTCCCGCAGGGGCACTTTAAGACGCAAATCCGTCGCGCTGGGCGAACGGCGCGCCCATCTGCGAGAGCGCCTGCGAACGGTTTTGGCAGCTCCAAGTCGAAAAGGCGAGCTTGATGCGGCGCAAGAATATGCCACGCTGGAGACTCAGAACCTCTACCATACCCCAGCTGTTCAGGTAGATCTCTACTTCTTGCCTGGGCTCAATGCCAGCGATGCTTACGAACGCGAGATGCTCAAGGCGATGACGGAGACGATGAATGAAGGCATTTTTCAAACAGAAGTGGTTGAGGCTGTGGTTTCAGCAGCCTGGATGCAACTGCGGGCATCTACAGCATGGGAGATTGTGTCCAACCTGCTGAATGTGGCCTTGCTGTGCTACACCTCGTTTAGCTTTCGCAGTGGTCAGCAACATTCCTCTGAATCCCAGCATGTCCATTTAGACCTTTTTGGGTAAATTTGTTGGCTGTAATAGCGAATAGAAACGACGCGAATAGACACGTGTGCCCAAACAGTTTTGCAAGCCCCGGGACATCCTCAGGTATCACTCATGCTTGTCGCCCTGCTACATGGCAAGAAAACTTTGGAGAAGCTTTGCCAGTACATCAGCTTGTTTTGCATGCAGCGCATACACATTCTTGACTTTGACAACCTGGCAGATGTCGCTTACATCACCATTGGATGGTGTGCCATCTTGAGACAAGCCTCAGCTTCCGGTCTAGAAAAGCCATTCATGGGCTTGTTCAGTGCATTAGCCTGGCTGCGTGCATTATATACCTTCCGTGGAGAAACCTGGATGGGTCCACGACTGTTGCCCATCCTTTCAGCAATTAAAGACACAAAGGCATTCTTTGTGGTCACTGGCACTTGCCTCCTTGCAGCCACACATTGTTACTACAACCTTCAAATGAGGGGTGAACCAACGCCGAGCTATGCCGCATTCTTGCAGGTCATACGCTTGGGCATCTTTGGTGACTTCGATCTTCACGAATTTGAAGGTTTGGACACCACATACCAGATGAACGACGAGAATCACCACTGGGAGCCACAGGATCCGGATCCTGGACCAGACTATGTCAGCCAGACGTCGTATCAGTTTTGTTTTTGACTGTTTTGGGGGTCCACCCACTGCTTTTGTCCAACAACCCCATTGCAAGAGAGAATCCCGAACATACAAAGATGATGCAGAGTTCTGCTTGATGATTCTCAGTTGCAACACCAATTGAGGTCTGGGCACACGCCCTTTTCTATTGCATCGGGGTGGGAATCTTCCTCCTTCTGATGAATCTCTTCGTTGGCGTCTTGAGTCAGAACTTCGAGCTCTATGAAGATCAGAGTGCCGTTCTCTTCTACCGCGCGCGGGCTAAGATGCTGCTGGAGCTGCAAGCAAGACCGTGGAAATACCTCATCTTCTCCCTCTTCAGCGCCAAGATCGAGGCTTCCGACGACTCTGAGGTGGGCCAGGCCAATTGGCCCGGCTAGGGCCATGCCGAACAGAATTGTCCACGAGCACTTGCTTGTACTCGTGGCTTTCAGCATGAAGTAGCTTATTAACCATTCCCTAATACATCCCAAGACATTCTGTATTGACAGACCGGTCCAATCTTGATTTTACCATGCCAGATGGGTTTAGACCATTGCTTTCCTTTACTGATGAACTTGAAACTTGATGCTGCGACTCATCGAAGTCAGTCGAGAGGTTAGCTGAAAAGCAACTCCTACAAAAACAAAGCTACAGTATCATTTGGATGCTGACTGAGCGTCTCTCTAAGTTGGAATCCATGCTGGCCAATACCAACCCTTCTTCCTCCAGTGCATTTCAGCTTTTGCAAGGCTCAGGGAGAGAAGAGCATGATGCGGACTCTGCTTCAATTCTCCTGGTGGCCTTTGGCTCCTTTTTGGATCGCCGCCTTTGGAAAAGAGCCGGACCATGGAGGGTTGGAGCGAGAAGCTTTGGCCAACCACGTAGTTTGCCTCATGACCCAGTACCGCTGCGGCTCTGTCCTTCTTCTCATCTTCCTCCCAGTGTCCTTTGCCCTGTCCGCCATCCTCGCAGTGCTTTTTCTGCTTGGCCGCTGCGTCTTCCAATGTCAGCTTCCCGGACTGTTCTACACGGTGGCGGTGGCGCTCGGCTTTTGTGGACCTGGAGGCACCGCCACCGCGCAGCAGTCTTGGATTTGGGTGGTCCTCCGGCCCGAGGCGCCCGTGGAGGATCTGAGGAGTGTGCGATCCGAGGTGAAGAACAGCTGCGAAGACCTTGTTGAGAGAAGACTTTTTGGGTCCGAACAGCCAAACGGACCGGTTTTTTATGTTTCCAGTTTTTAGGTGAATCTACTTTTTGGTTTGTGTTTCGTTTTTTTGGGCTAGTCCAAAACTGTTGAGGAAAGAGTTCAAACTTTTGTGGGTCCCTCATCAGTGAGGCTTACTGAAAGTTCAAGACCGTTTCGAGACCCTCGATTGCATCTCGTGCTGCAACGCGCTGCACGACCTTCCCATATTCAAAAGCTGTTGGAAATGAGTGTGTTTCTGGCTACAGAGGCAATTGGCGTTCTACCCACTGCAGTAGAAGCAGAAAATTGACGAGCATGCGGTAGATCTGATTAGCATGTACTTTTTGCGCAATAGTTTTCTTGTGGCCCCCATACTGTTTAAGAAGTTTCTGGAGCCAGTAAGATCCAAGGAAGAAAATCAATGAGCTGAGTTCGGCACAGTGTCTTGGGCCTTTTAGTGAGCGATGATGCCTCTCTCACGCTTTGGAAGCAGCTAGCAGCTAGCTAGCACCCTTCGGCCGGTCCGACCATTTCAAGCTTCTTCCTCAAACTGGACTCATCTCTTGTTCAAGTTTGTTTCTGAACTCTTGGTAAAGAGCAGGATCAGTCTCGTTGCAGCTTGAAGTAATCATACTGGTAACATGGTGCTGTATTGTTTTGAGCGGTCTTGTTTATTTTGGAGCTAAGGGAGGAGCACAAGGACCTGCTGCACGGAATGGAAGACACATTGCTCAAGCTACAAGGCATGCAGAAGCTTCGACATGCCTTAAACTGTGTCAACTTTTGCCCGTTGAAGTTGCAACGAGTTGGTTGTGCTGTGCGCAACTTTTGCTAAGGACGGACCGGCAGGGGCAGCTGAATGGAATGGAGCACAAACTGCAGGGAGTGGAAGACACACTACAGGGAATGGAGAAGCTTAACCTATTTTCCATTATTTTTCATGAGTGTCAAAACATCTTTGGGCGTTTGTTTTCGAGCACGTGTTTGCATTCGGGTTCGTGGGTTCCATCTTGTCTATTCTTTTTCACATGGGATCTGGTCGGATGCGCCGTGTGAAGGTGAGTCTGAGGCGTCCCTGTGTTTTGCGTGACTGATGTGCACATGTCTACGAGGGTGCTCCCTCACCCCGTCTAAGGACGAAGCTTGAACAGTTGACCACTTTGGTGGAGACGTTGGTGCAACATCCACGTGACTGATAAGGTTCTGCGACAGAGGTGAAGCGGTCGACAGAAGTTGGACGAAAAGCGGTCTTCGACAGTTCTGGGCATCGGAAAGACTTCGGTCTCCAAGAAGGGACGAACAGTTTGATGGAGTGCGGTGGCAGGGGGAGATGAGCGTCATTGGTCGATGTGGAGGCCACACTAGATTAAATGCTTCTACCAGTCTGCGAGCTTCACAGCTTCTGCCAGTTGGCTTCTTGAAGAACGGTCTTGCATGATGTCCAACATGTGGGCTGGTCAAATGACGGGACTCTCAACCAATGGTCCTTGTAGTTTCCTTCTTGGGGGGTTCTCCCTTCTATTTTGAGACCAAACGACCTGTCATCACTGGTCGTTGACCTTGATTTGAAGGCACACACACACATCCTTTTCACAAAGGAAGAACAGGTGGAACCTGAACGGAATCCCAGACATGTCCTTGGCTGGAACCACTGGCCACCAGCTACACAGTCACATATCAGGGACTCTAGTGACAACCGGATCAATGGAGACACAGAGAACCACAGAACGGTCTACCTTGGGTTATTTAAGGTGTCTCACCCCGAGGTGTCGCAGCCTCGCCCTTCCTCTTGGCGAGGCGATGGCCGGAAGCCGGGTTGCGAAGACCGGGACACATGCCAGGAGCTCGGCTCTGCCCCCCGCCACCGGCTCCACTGGTTCGAAGCGTCATGTTTGGGACCGACACCGGGTTTTTGGGGTGGCGAAATCCGGCGAAGGTTCAGTTCTGCTTGGGCAAGGCTGAAGGGTTGATTTCTTGGACCAAAGGCCCTCATGCCTGAAGAGATCCACGGACATCGTTTTATGACTCAAGAGTCTGTCTCAGCCGTGCTAGAACAAGCACCACTGAGAGAGAAGCTTTCGGCTGCGTGAGAATAAATATGAATCAAGAGTCTACAAAGACGGAAGAATACAGATTATATATATAAGTTGTTGAATATGCATGGATGTGCACCCATCACATATACCCTGATCATGGTGTCTTTCCAACTGTGTACAAATCATTTTGATCTTTGATCGCCTTTACATATTTTGGCTCAAGCGCTGACAAAAAGGAGCGTTCCGTCCTTGTGCTTTCATTCATAGAAACCCTACTTCTTGCTGTGGGTAGGTGTTTCTACAAGGCTCCATGCTGTTTGCCATGTGCCCGCGTGGTAGACGGTTAGGTGAGACCCTTAGGTAGCCCTTGCATGTGCGGGGTGCTGCCGTGGATTTGGTTTTTAGGTTGCCTTTTTTCGAGCACGACATCTGGGGCTGAAGGAGCCTGGCTGGCACCGCAATTTGCGGCGCCAGGCCCTTTCTCTGGCAGCTTGGCACCAGAGCTGTGGGCAAACGCACGAAGCTTCGTGCGAGCAAAGCAGTGGAGCTGCTGACCGTCCATCACGTCTCCCACGTCCCAGCTGCAATGAGCTTGCAGAACCAGAAATGGGAATGCAGACACTGCAATGTCATGATGACATACATGCAGGTGCGTTGCGCCAAGTGCTATGGCTGGTGGGGCAATGCAGCCGTGCAAAGTCGCGCTCCCAGTCGCAGAGAAAGAGGAGGGCTGCCAGCAAGAACCAGAGCAACTCAAGCAATTCGAAGAAGGACGATGCCAAGCCAACCGAGTCCAAGGGATCTATGCTGCCTTCATTCATGAAGTGGGATGGACTGGGGGGGCCATGGCAGAAAGGAACACCGGATGGGAGGCTGGCAAAAGTCCTTCTTCAAAGCAGAGGAGCCAGTCAAGCCATGCTGGACTGTGCAGCCAACTACCAGTGCGCTACAAGAAGCGACGCCGGCCAAGGTGACCGAGAGTTCCACCTTCAAACAGCTCTTACAAGCCGACGTGATCACCAAGGACCAAGCTGCCACCGTCCTTCACGGAGAGCAGACCGAGCACCTCATTCCCGGCCTCCAGAGGTGGCTCATGCACTGTGGCCCACCGCAGCAGCTGACGAGGGACGAGGATGGCTCTCTGACAATTATGGTGGCATGGACACGTGACCTCAACATCGATCACTGCATCTCGCCAGCAAAAGCTCATCAACGCATCGGCCTGGTTGAATGGAAACATCAAGTGCTGCGCAAATCTGTGGAGCTCTACCTCGAGGACCAGAAGGTTGACGGCTCTGATGGCATTCGCCAAGCTCCCACATATATCGTGCCACAGTCGAACTCCCAGATGACAGCGGCAGGCTACAGTCCATTACAATGGGTTCTGGGATATCAACCCCAAGCCACAAGCAGGACAACACGATCCTGGACCATGTCAGCTCTGCATCCCAGTTGCTTCGCAACCTAAAGAGCAGGGGCGTCGCACGCTTTGTTGACTTGAGCCGGGTGAACAATCGCAACATCGATGATGTCGAGAGCGACGAACAGGTGAACGATGGCGACTCAGATGCTGAAGAGATGGCCAAAAGACGACGAACAGGCACTGGACCACCGGCAGGAGACAGCGACAACCAGACGAGCCACTCCATCCCGCACAGGCTCAGAGGAAGACGAACCGCCTACACCGCCACCAACCTCTGGATTCTGTCACAGCTTCGCGCTACACGACATCACCAGAGGAGACCTTTGACCAGAAGAGACAACGTCTGAACAAGCAAGAAACCATGTCCTTTGGACCGCACCGAACAGATGGACACATTATGGCTAGCCCCTATGACAAGTCAACCTCCAAGCAAGACCTCACATCCTATGCCTTTAACGTGAAGCTGCCAACTCACAAACAACCTGGGAGGTCAAGGCAGGATGTCTGATTCGACACCATGTCCCTATTCCAGTTGAGAGGTTGGACCCACAGCGAGTGACAGTCTACCAAGACACACATGGGCACTTGAGCTCCGTCACCGACAACTTCAAGGAGACCATCAAGAGCGACAAGGTGATTGGACTGCTTAGCCGCTGGCGCGGCGTGACGATCTTCCAGATCAATGCGGACGCCCGCAAGGAGCTCGGCATGGTCTCTTCAAGTCCCAATAACAATCTTCGTCCGCAACCTGCTCGAAACGTGGCACAACACGAAAAGGTGCAGTTGAAGAGGCAGGCAAAAACAGAAAGGTAAGGATTCCCTCTCTGAGAAGAACATGTAGAAGCGTGCCAACGATTGAAGAAACTCAGCTGAATCCAAAACCACATGAATCCCTGCCGGCTTCACCCTTCACCACAACATCTCCAAGCATGACAGTCAGATCTGCGGCGTGTTACGCCTACACGTTGACGACATGCTGGGTGCTGGCGATCGGTCCTGTGCAACCTATTAGGAGGCAGAGAAGCAACTTCAACAGGCCTTCAACTTCCGCACCTGGGATGAGGACACCAAAGAGATCACCTATTGCGGCGCCGTGTTGACCAGAAAGGATTTCACTTGGGCCCTCAATCAAGAGAGCTACATCCACAACGTGAAGACACTGACGGTACATCGCAACAGAACACCAGAGGAGGAAATGGCTGACCACGACCGCAGCCAGCTGAGGGCTTTGTTGGGATCGTTGGCAGCCTCACGGCAGGCAAGATGGCCCAGCTGCAGGCGATTGTTGACGCCAGTTCACTTCTCAGGTTCGCTGAGCAGAACGCTGACATTGCTCTGAAGTATGAGCCGATCCCAGTGAATGACTTCTCTGACCTTCGACTGGTGACGATGTTTGACACCGCACATGGAGTACGACCAGATGGAACGTCCCAAGGAGGATTTCTCATTCTCTTGGTGCATAAGGACGCCTTCAACAAGGAGTTGGCCAACCACGTCATCGACTGGAAGTCCTGGAAGCTACCTCGCCAGGAGTTCCTCTCGGCGGAAGCGCAAAGCGCCGGACAAGCAGCCGACTCGACAGAGTACTCATGTCGATTCCTTGAAAGCATCTTGCGCCCAGATCGTAGCCTCAGAGAGGTCCTGCACGGCGCCACTGCCCTTCGACCCGTCCTCGCGGACGCAAAATCTGTACGACAGCTATCGCAAAAAAAGGCGCAGTACGACGTCTACGTCCATTGACCGAAGAACTTCCTTGGAAATCAGGGTCATGAAGGAGCAACTCTTGTCCTTGAAGGGCAACTACCTCCACACTACAACCTGAAGAATAATATTAAGGCGAAGAAGGTGGAATGATGAGCTCAGAGGAGCCTACAACGCCAACCTCGAGACCTACTACCACCACTGCCACGACCTATGTGAAAAGGATTCTGTTTGCCATGGTGGCTATGACTCACAGCCAACTGGCAGCAGGAGAACGATCTCTAGGACGGACAGTCCGACACCGCCCTTGTCGATTATGGCACAGCGAACGGCGACAATGTCATCTACGCCTACGGTGGTTGGACCCCACTTTGCATCATGGTGACGATCATTTTGATCATTGGAATGCTGATGGGCTACGCCTATGGCGCCTACACTGGACGACGTGAACGCCATCAGCTACAAGCGCAGCTGGTCCAACAATATGGAGAAGCAGAAGAGTGGAAACAGAAATGGTGGAGCACGGACACTGACCTTGCTCGCGCACTACAAGAGGTAATTGACCTGAGGGTCAAGAACATGGAGGACAAGAAAAAGATGGATGAAGAACATGAGATCTACACCACAGAGCTTCAAGCTGGAGGTTGAAGCGCAGCAAGAATGTATGTCGGCAAAGCAGTGCTCAACAGAGCGAAGCGAGAAATCCTCCATCATGGACAAGAATGTCCCATGGGCCACAACACTGGCATCTTCATGACGCCTCATGGCCGAGTATGGCATGTACAGCATGACTGCAGTAGCCTGGTAAAGGCCAGAGCCATTGATCAGGTATATCCATGCCGCTGGTGCGCGCAGGTGGTGCTTTGGAAGAGGCTGATTGAGGACCTCAGGGACTTTGAGCAGGTTCATGGCAGAATGATTTCCACGTCGGCGCGTATCGGCTGACGTTCGCTCCCGCGATGTTCCTCTCGAACTTGCTTTCCCTTCTGTGCCCCTTAGGGTGGGCTTCGCTGGCGACACCGCCAATGGCACTTTGAGGAAAAGAACCTCGAGAGCTTTTCCGTTCGGTGGGAACTTCGTTTGTCCGCTTTGGCTTGCTCCTTGGACTGGTCCTTCTTTTGCTGCAAACTACACATGAAAAGATCGGTGAATGATTTACAATGACTGGATTTCTTCTTAATTAGGTGCTATTTGGCACCAGCTGCCTGGGTGGAACCCTTCACGGACGCAGTTCTGTGCAGTCGCGGTTCAAAGTCATCCTTCCAACGTTATATTCCTCCCTAATGAGACTATAGCGTAGCTGACTTCCACTCGGCATGAGGCAAATCCTCACCAAAACGTCAGCGCTTGCGCCACCCACTCGTCGTTTTTCTCCACCGCAGATCCGATGGGCGACGGCGATGGCTCGTTCCGATGTTCGAACGTGACTGGGGGCGACTCCCAGGTCGACCAGGGCGGAAAAACCGCGGCGGAGGCGTCGGGCTTGGGGAGCTGCGCGGATGCGCTTAGATAGAGAGGTGGCCAAGCAAAAGGGTAGAGTGCTAGATGATGCTGGATGTTTGTTTTATGTTCATGTGCTGGTGGTTTGCACGGAAGTGAAGATGAGAGGCTGACAAAGTGTTGTTGACAAGACATTCGATGCTATCAGAGGCTTGGTGGAGACTATTGAGCTGTTGGCCCGGCAATGTTGTTTTTGCATGTTTTTCCTCCTTGTAATTAGGAACACCTAAATTAATGGAGGCAACAGGGGTATCCATCCATGAACTGATGAATTCCATTAATTTTTGCACCTGGAGGAACAACCAAGAAACACATACTGTAAGTTTTGAATCCGGGAGGCCATTTTTTCCTTACCGACATGTTCGGCATGTGTCCAACCTTCGTGCTCCGGCTTGCCGGTCAACTCCTGCGCGCAGCTCGTGCGTCTCTCCTTTTGCAGGGCCTTTTTGGTCGAACGGATGGAGTGACCTATGAGTGGCAGTGCAGTGAACTGCTCAAGTCGAGTTGAAATCGATTGGCCAATGCACTGACTTTGCATGTGGTGGGTGAACCGGATGGGCTGTTGGAGCTAAAAGTGCCACGCTGAGCATCGGACATCGGTTCCAGGTGTTCTCGTTTTGGATGTATTGAGGAGCTGTTACCATCAATCATCAAACGTGGACAATGAAGAGATGAAGTGTGCTCTTCGAGCCACGACTATGTCGGCTCCGAGGTTGCTTTTTGGCATTTTGTCTCAAACATGCCTGGTTCGAAGAAATAAGCGGAGCCATGGATGGAGTAGCTTGCATGAACAATGACTTGCGCATCAATCTTTTCTTATTTTTGCATGTTTGCAAAACATGTTTGGCAACCAAGAAAAGACACCACACTACGGTACAGCCACATCTCATGGCGGCCATGGCTCCAGTGAATCCGAAGGCTGCCAGAGTTTTGTGCAGCCCATTGGTGGAGCTTTTGCTCAGCACGAAATTGTCTTATGTCCCATCCATCGCCCGCGAAACTAGCTTGCCACCGAACATGCTTGAAGTTTTGAGAGGCAGCGCGAGAATAGAAACATTCCATCCATCAGTGCCAGAAGGCGTGTGGAGTCATAGAGGCTGACATGGAGGACTTTCGCGATGACACGACTGTGGCCCTGGGCAGGTGAGTCACCCAAGACGGATTTTGAAACGGTCGAGAACGCGAGAAATAGATCGCAAGAATGGCCTCAGCGTAGCTATTGCTGCTTGAATCGGGATGACAACCTCACTGTAGGAATGAGGTCACGCATATCGTCCTTGACTCCTTGACATTCTCAGGGAGCAGACGTGTGAAACAATCATTTTCGAGGCGCTGTCGGGTCAGACGCGATCATTTCTCCACAGAGGCACGTCGCTTCAATCTTGGCAGGCACAAAGAACCAGTGTTTTGATTGTCCATGTAGGTTTTAACATGGACCTTCGCGTGCCTTTCAGCAAGACCCTGGGTTCAAAGATCCAGTCAATTCATGCGAGGCAGCCTCTGAGTCTTTGATCGGTTTGGCAGCTTTGATCGGTTCCATAAAATTGACATGCTCAAAGGCACAGAGACCTTCATACATTTTCTCACGCATCCCCCGTTCCACACATCCCCAGAACAAGGATAACAAGGGATGTCCCACCACGTTGCCACCAAGATGCTAGACTGGGTTGGACGTTCCAGTTACCGGCGGGTTTCAAATCTTTATATAGGTTTGAAGATCCCAAAAAGAGCTCTTTGGAGAAGCTGAGCAGTCAGATTTCCTCCTTTTACTCCAAAGTCATGCGTGATGGCAGGGAATCGTTTTAGTTGTCGTCCGCTTCCAGAAGAGAACTCTTTAAAGCAGCTTTGCCCCCATCGTCCCACATCGCCAATGGCACCAAGGACCCCCCTAACCTTTCAACGACCTTTGACCTACGTCAGACGTGTCGGACGATGTAAGTGTTTGTTTTTTGTGCAAAGCGGAGGCCACGACCTGTAAGATATCGGTACGACCCGGCTCCTTCACAATCATGTGTAAGCTGCAAAAACAAGCTGAGAGATCGAAGAAAGGCAAGGTGAGCTGTGCCACCTGTGCCACCTGTGCCAGCTGTGCTGGTCGCATCCTTGGTGGGGCTTTGTGGGGCTTTTAAGCATCGAAGCTTCGAAGGTTGAGCGACTCGCCCATGCGAAGTGGCTCTGGCGGGCCGTGGGTGACTCCGGTGGGACAGGGGGTTGAGGTGGCGAAGAAGGGAAGTCGGTGCACTGATGGTGGATTCGTATCGGCGCAATGCTGAGAGGCTGAAGGAAGGGCATGTTTTTGTGCACCATTCTGTTTGAATGAAGACAACGCAAGGAAATGGTGGCAGAGGATGTTCCTTTTGAGCCAAATGGCCAGGCCATGACTGCTGAGTTTCTGACCTTTGAGCTGACCGCAATTTGCGAGTGCATGGGGAGGGCAAGAGGATCCAGTTCGGTCGAAGCCGGTTGAGTGCGCATCCCGGCTGTCCGTAGATGGACTTGGCTCGTTTGTGACTCCGTTGGCGTCGAAGCATCACTTCACAAGCAGTTGCCTGCTCATGTTTGGCACGTGCAGCGGTGCACAGCCACTCATTTGTGCCGCAGCCGGCACTCCATCCGGTGGCCTGAACGGGTATGAATCTGCCTCCAACAGATTGGATGTGTCTTCCAAGGCAGCTGTGGCGCAATTCATCATTGCTGTGTTGGTTGTCTCACAAAGACTTGACATTTGTAGCACCAGGAAGCCGAACTTCTTTGGGTCCGAACAAGAACCCTTTGGGTCTTTCGTCAAAGGTTCCCAACATCACATTCGCCTTTGGAGACCTCCCGTGTCTTTGCGTCGAGGCGGCCTCCACCTCGCCACGTCAGTCGCGAGTCACGTGGGAAACGTGGGACACGTGTCGCCGAGTTCCTCGCTCCGGCAGTCACAATGGTCGGGTTGAAGCCTGGAGTGTAGCTTGGGGAAGACTGGGCCAACTTGCTTGTCTGACGAGGAGCAGCTTGTGTGAGCTGCCATTCCTCCAGTGCCTCCAACATGCGGTTTCACGGAGGCCTAGTCTTCGGTTTACCCGGTGTTGCGAAGCGGCTCGAATCACTCTGATGGCAATGGCCGGGGGCAGTTTTGTGAATGATGTTTGATGTGAACACTTTGGAAGAGGTCGACCACGGGACAGACGCCGCCACTTGATGTTTGCAGTTGCTAGTCTTGCGGTTGAAGCCTTTGAGTTCTGGCCATTGCGTCATGGCACTGCCCGAAACATTGGTAACGTTTGTACCATGCAGTACTTAGATGTACTTAGGATCTTTTGAGAAAGAGGGCATGAGACTTGCCAGTCACTCCAAGAATCTCGCTTACAAGCGCGTCATGCAGGATTGAAGTCGATTGCCAGGCTGGGCCACCCGGCGCCTTCTTGAGGCCTCACAGCCTGGAGGACTCGCCCTTGGCTCGTTTGGAGCGACCTGCTCCGTCGCCCACGCCGAAAGCGGAACGCAGCCGAACCCATCCTGAAGGGCGAGTCATCGCAAGAGACACGGAGCAGTTTCTACAAGCGCGGCGCAGTTTCGCCAATCACGTGCTGCAGTTTTCTCGTGCTTTGTTGGAAGAGAGTCTGAAGGAGAAAACGGTTTTGGAGGGTCTGACTGGCAAGAGTGGGAGGGTTATTGTTTTCAAGTTGATCTTAATTTGTGAGTTGGGGGATGCCACAGCCAGGTGGGCGTCACCGTTTTTGTCAATTAGCATTCCGAATCGAGCTGGTGGAACCTGATGGCTCAGCTGAACAGCTTCTTGCAGCTGGCTCAGCTCGCACCGTTCCGGTGCTTTGGACTCAAGTGTTCACCGTCTAGCAAGACTAACCTGCCGTTCAACTGCTCTTCCCTGAGAACGAACATGGTCTTTCCACCACTGTTTTTTGTTATTGTGCAGTTGGCGTTTTGGTTTTAGATTCTGGGCAAGCTCTTCGTCGCAGTTTTCAAAGCGGCACTTGCCTTTGATTCTACCGCAAGCAACAAAGAATAGCATGAACAACAAGTGACAAGCCACACGGAGGACTTCAGCACTCCGAAGCGCTCATGATATGCTACGAGAAGGGCGTTTTGTACGAGCTCCCTGTGCGCAAAGTTGAATCCGCCTCAAGTTGTGAGGTGACCTAGTGCAAACTTTGGTATGTCTTGAGCTATGACGGCGCTTACAGACCTTCTGTCGGCAGTGTTGCCAGAGACGATGCCCTTGACCATGCCTTGGCTCTCTGGAGGGCTAGCTGCTGTGTGTCAGAAGCCAGAGTGTGTTAAACTGTCCCTCTCGTGTCTTCTAGTTCAAGTTCTAGTCATGAAGCGAGACATAGATCACGTCAATCACGTCCCCCTTCCAGAGGAAGGATGCTCAAAGAGTGAGCAATTTCCATGTGAGCCCAACAGTCAGTGAGTCAGCGGTGTAAGTTGTCCGCCTTTGGATTTGGGAGTCGTTCTGCACCAGCCCTCAATCCCAGTAGTGCCTTGAGACCGCAGAAGAGTGTGCCGAAGGCGGGGCGTTCGTTGCTCAGTTCGTGATTGTGGCTGTGGGCTAGAGTGGGCTAGAGGAACGTAAGACCCATCGTCAAGTAGAGCTCCTAGGGATCTCCACATGCCAGTGAGACCTCAGCTGGCGTGCAGTTGACCACTTTTGCATAAGGCTTCTTAGATGCCACTGGTGTGACTCGAGACTAGACCACTGTGCTATGCCGTTTGTGCACTGCATGCTGCGGAGTGTTTGCACCCGGACTTTGCCGAGTCGGACGCCGTGCTGTCAGGCTGCCTGTCAGTCGGATCTGGGCAGGTCATGACTTGGATGTTACTTTGGGAGAGATGAGCCAGTTGTTTCATTGATGGTGAAGCCTTCTTCACCTCCCGCGGACTTCCGGCCACCTCCATATCGCCCAAAAGAGGGATCTGAGGTGGCGGGTCGCAGGTCGTCCGTGGTTTTGGGCACCAAAAGAGATCGTTGTTTTGGGCAGATGCTACTTTTGCAACTAAAAAAACACTTCACTCACGACCCGTCTCCAGAATCGACTCGTCTCCTCATTTTACTGCACTCCTTGCATGTGTCAGGTTCAGGAGCTCATTTTGATTTGCAGTTTCGTATTGGCCATCTTGCAGTTGTTCAGCCACGTCGCCCTATGTTTGAGGGTAGCTCAGGAGCTGTAGGGATTGGCCTGGCAAGGGGCTCTAATGTTCTTCCTGCCCAGAGTGGGGTTCAGGTTTGCACAAGCTTCACATCTGATGTTTTTGAAGAAGCATTCGGTCAGATTTTGTTTCATCTCCATGGCATAATGATGCACTAGAGAGGGGTGGCTCGCGTTTGTTGCACAAGTATGTGCATTCAGCAAGATACACATTTCTCACACACATTCCTTGCCAAAGTTGCTTGTTGCATGCAGCGCACATGATTCGCGCAGTTATTCTTGCCAGACCTTCAATCAAAGCCAGACCCCGATCCTGAATGCCGAGAGTGTGGCCTGAGAAGGAAGATGTCACTGCCCCTGGTAAATCAAAAGCTGATAGCTGTGATCAGATCCTTGGTTTCGGAAAGCTTGACCAAA